GAGTGTAATACTGTGGTTGTTTTGGTGAATGTGTTTGGGTAGCTACAGTTAAGTCTGTAAATATTTGGACTCTGACACAATTTTTATAATTTTGGCTCTGTATGCCACCACAATGGATTTGAAATGAAACTGCTTTAATCAAAGGCATTGAACAATAATATTGTATGAAACGTTTAGGAATTACAACCATTTTCATACACAGTCTCCTTATTTCAGAGGCTCAAATGTAATTGGACAATAATGTGTGAATCATGAGCGGTTCCAAGCCTTCTCCATACGTTTTTCCTCCCATCATTCTGGTACAGGTTGTTCTTGGTTTCATCTGTAAAAATGATGCTGTTGTAGAACTAGGATGGCTTTTTAAGATGTATTTTGGCAAAGTCTAATCTGGCCTTTCTATTCTTGAGACTTTTGAATGGTTTGCATCTTGTGGTGAACCCTCTGTATTTGCTCACGTGAAGTCTTCTCTTTATGGTAGACTTGAATATTGAGATGCATACCATCTGTCAACTCCAGACCTTTTGACTTAATTGTCCAATTACTTTTGGTCTCTTGAAAAACAGGGGACTAAATATTAAGTAGCTGCAATTCCTAAACCCTTCCTCCAATTTGGATGTGAATACATTCAAAATAAAGCTAAAGACGACTGTACTTTAAGCCCATATTAATTATTTAAGTTTAATTTGTATGTATTTGGGTAAACAGCTGAAATAACAAAACGTGTGTCCAAATGTTTCCAGGACCTAACTGTGTGTGCCTTGTGGCAGTGCAAGGGTAGCTGTGTGTGTCTTGTGGCTGGGAGTGGGAGTGGGGAGGGTGTTTGTGGTTTTGTTTGCTGTTTGAGTTGTGTATGATGTATGAGGCTATGTTTGATGTATGTGGCTGTTTGTGATGTGTGTGTTGGAATGCTGTGTTTGATGTATCCAGTCTCTCCACACATTACAATGAAAAATATATTTCTTGCCTCCGTGTCCTGGTTACTTTTAGACTTTTAAGGAGCGGTGCTATGGTTCAGTGGGGAATGTGATGTTGCTTTGTGATAAACATACTTACAAATGTGTTTCAAGTGGTATGAACAAATCAGATGCCTTTTAATTTTTTTATGGCACTCCAGATAAATGCCTGATTAACCTTTTGATAGGACCAGCCATGTCAAATGTTTGTGCTACTCTGGATGGGACTTGGCAGACCAGATGGTAAGCTAACAGCACCCTGTTTCAGGGGGAGAACCACCATCTTTTGTTGTCTGAACAGCCCCGAGCATTGCCACCAAGGGCGCAAACAGCATCAATAGCCTTGTTGTGCAATCCCAACCCTCTATCATACAATCAAATCCACCAGTACTGGGAGGTTTACCATACGTTGTACTGGCCAGGGTGCTTGGGGCAACAGCTCTTAGGCAATGAATAATGTTCCAACCTGGTATGAGTTTATATAATAATGTCAAAGTATTAACTTCCACTTTACCATAATACTTTCAATTTACAATACCAGCTCTGGCCGAAAGAACTGCGGGCGCCCTTGTGGTGTTGGAATAGAGGTACGTTTTTATCCTTATTAACGGGTGTGAGGAGGGACTGGCAACCTAAAATGTGTTTTTACACATTTGTATTCCTGACATCAATTTTCTAAATAAACCAGTTCAAATCAGTTCAAAGTGGTTATGGTGCCTGGAGTCCACAGATTTTGCATACCACAGCCTTGTCACAGGTATGCAGGGTCCCTCAGAACTCACAACTCAGGCCAAAATGACTGTGGGTCAAAGATGGCGAGTAGTTCTACCTTACTACATATTGGGTTATAAAAGGCAGTGTTCAGCTGGGTGTAGTAGTGAAGTAGGACAACGATTAGTTGAGAGCAACGTCAGACGATCTAAGTATATTACGTTAAGCAAAAACAGAGAATATGAAAATTATGAGAACGGATAGAAGCTACAGGAACTCGTTTGCTCTTTAGTAAATCCCAGCTCAGGTCTCAAAATAGTTTTTGCTCACTTATGACATTATAGTGTGGTCCTATAACATTACATATCAGAATGATCCCGCCCACAAGATCCCTAACCCTCCACTATAGGTGCCCCTTTCGAGGTGACCACAGGAAAGCATAAATTTGAGGAGAGTCTCTGGAAGCAGTTCAAAGGCAATATTCTCTTGGCATTATTCTATCAGCCCCTCTACTATATAGTTTACTTATCCAAATCGAGCACTGGGCGAAGATCCCAGGTCCTGCTCTGAGCTCACCCGTCTGATGTCACTGGAGTCACGCCGATGTCCTATCTAAGAGAAGCCTTTGATTGGAGGATTTGACCGGCTCAAAACTCTTGTGCGCAAAGAAAGGGGTCGAGGGAGGCAGGGAGGATGGAGATCTAAAAATATTAGCGAATGGGATTGGGAGGAGGTAGTGGTTTCCTCAGTGTGGGTGGGAGGGGAGAGAAGAGCTTCTTCAGTTACGTTTGTCACCAACATGCAGTGTGTGCTGACGACAGATAAATAAACAGAGTTCAGGGCTGCCTAGTTCACGTGTGCTGATGGTGCAACTTACCCTACAAAACAATAAATAATTAGTCTGGATGTGCAGATGCTCGCCTCACAAAAAACCATAAGTGGTCATGGTGGTTGGAGTGACCCTTTAAGCAGTAAGTATTGCAGTAAGCATGTTCATCTCCCATGTTAAAATCAGTGGTTTACAGTGACGTAGTGGTGGGTTTAACACAATATTGTAACTGAATCCCCATATTTGATTGCTGGTGATTTTAAATATCCTTGTAAAATTTAAAACGTTATTTTTTTTATGTGCATGCTGTCTGTATTTTGATCCTGCCCACAAGGGCAGTTCAGATCTGAAGTGCTGGCAAGTTCCCTTTGCACGAGACATATAGCAGCCCCGGACTGGTATGGCATAAGGTGAAGATATTCTCTGACTTTGCCATACAGACACTGTTGGCCAGGCTGCATATCCATAGGGGTGCGCACGGGGTGTGCCGGGTGTGCCTGGGCACACCCTAATCCCAGCAGCACACCTATGGATTGAGACCGGCAGGGGAGATCTCAGGATCTCCCCTGTCGGCTCATGCAGAGCCGGCACTATCCGAGCGCCAGCTCTGCTCTAAGCCTCCACGGGCCGGTGGGGAGATCAAAGATCTCCCTCACCGGCCCACAGCAGCATAGAGGGAGGCAGGAGAGGACCCGGCAACGCTCAGATCTCGCGAGAGTGAACTCTAGCCCCACAGGTGAGATTTTACTCTCCACTGGACCATCAGGGATGGCACATGGCAGCAAGGATCCCCCCTCTTTACATATGGTTAGAAGGTAGGGGGATATTTACTAATCTGCCCCCACCTCCACCACCACAATCCCTCCAAACATACAGCACACACACACATACAGCACCCTCACACAAACAGCACCCTCACACACACAGCACACAAACAGCACCCACCCACACACAGCACCCTAACAGGACCCTAACAAACACACACAAACACCCTCCCCCACAGACAGCACACTACCAGCACCCTCACACACAAACAGCACACTAACAGCACCCTCACTAACACACACACACAAACACCCTCACCCACATAGCACACTACCAGCACCCACACACACACACACACACACACCACCCTCACACACATACACACACCACCCTCACACAGCACACTAACAGCACACACACACACAGAAGTATATCTATGTGTGTGTGTGTGTGTATATATATATATATATATATACATATATATATATACAAAAGATAAGTAGCTTGGCACTCTCCTTCCTTGGAATTACTTATATCCGCCTGGGTGCAAATGGTGTGCGTTCCATATATAAAACTGTAGAATAATCCAAGATGCACTCACAGGTCTTGTAACAAAAATCCTTTTTATTTAAAAAATGTGCAAAAGAAAAACCAACGTTTCGACCTCTGCGGGTCTTTTTCAAGGTTAACATAACTTCCAAATTAGTGAGTTTATATAAAATAAGTGTAAGTGCTCTTACCAATCTTTAGCGTTGAGTGTCCCCCACACCGAAACCTGGAAGTGGATTAGGACCGCCTCCCCGACGTCAATGCGTCAGGGCGTTAGGCGGAATGTTGATAGGTTGCTATGACAACGTGTGTGAATTATCGTTCTGTGCGGTTACTGTGAAACAAAAGTGAGTGATACCTGTTAGAGAGGACTAACAAGATGGAAGAAAAGATCCATAGTATTATACCTAACCCCATGGGGCAATTACTAGTATCCATTAATCTTTAAAAGTTTATGCAAACGTGAATGCAAACGTGAGTTGTGATTCAAATGTGAATAATCATCAAGTTAATGGACATAGGACTTGCCCTACTGTGGTAATAATGAGTATTATACATTGATATTATAAATGCAAATATAAACCTTAAATCCAGGTTGAAAAAATAATCCAACTAAAATACATTAAGCAATAAATATTTCTTGTTACCATGCAGATCTCCACGCAATACACTTTGATTAAATTGCAGGATGATATTCAAAAATATCAAAATGACATTATAAGGTTTAAAAAACAGAAACTTAACAAAGTGAACCATGACTACACTCACCATCAAGTGTATAGATGGCTTAGTGGGAGTGATTTCAATAGTAGAAATCCTCCTCCAAGATATCAACAACGTATTACCAAACCAAAGTTTCAAACCATTGACGTTAGTTCTGGAGAGTCTGCCTCTGAAACTGACATGACAGATTCAACCTCCAAGATATATACCACTCCTTTTTTAGAGAAAGGAGCTACTTCCAAAGAACCTCCAGATATGCCAAGGGAACAGAGAGATATAAGAAGAAAAAAAGACCTAGTAGGCGAGGAAAGAAGGGTCACCCGATTTACCAACACCTCGGGGAGACCCCCACTTCAGAGAACTCGACCGTAGTATTCAATTTATCTGACAAAGTCCTTACACACGATCACCTATCAGTTTTGAACAAAGGACTTACATTTATTCCTAGTAGGAAACCAGATGCTTTTCCGATGGAAATAGAACTGTACAAACTGAATCGAATTCTTAATTGCAATGAATTCAGAAAAACAGGAACTACTAGTTGCTCCCATTCGTTTTCTTCAAGAGTGAAAAAGGATATTAAAACTAGCAACATAGCGATTAAAACTTTCATACAAACTATTCACTATTCACAAAGGATCATTAAAATTCCTCCCCATTCTAGACATAATCTTACGTTCAAAGAAAAAGAAGCTCTCAAAGATCTTCAGCAAGATTCAACTATTGTTATTCGCCCCGCTGACAAGGGGGGCGCAATTGTAATTCAAGCATATCATCAGTATAAAAAAGAAATCATGAGACAATTACAAGACGCAAAGACGTATAAGAAATTTACATTTGACCCGGTTAAGAAATTTCAACAAAGGATTAACCAGCTTATCGAAATTGGTCTTCAGGGGAGTTATATTGATTCTAACACGGCAAAATATTTACAAGTGGAATTTCCTATCCACCCGGTATTGTACACAATACCAAAAATTCATAAATCTGCACAGGAACCTCCAGGACGCCCTATAGTATCGGCTCGAGGAGGGCTCCTTGAGCCCATAGCTAAGTACGTGGACTTTTATATACAAGGTTCAGTAAAAGAAATACCTACATGCCTTAAAGACACTCAAGATCTATTACACCAATTAAAAGATTTCAACATGGAAATAAATGCGGAATTTATTTTCGCAACTTTGGATGTACAAAACCTATACACGGTTATACCCATAACCGAGGGAATACAAGCTGTACGTGAAACCCTCTTAAACACCACTTCCTATGAAGGACCACCCATAGAATACCTACTGGAATGGTTGATGATAGCTTTGACCTGTAATTATTTTCGATTTGAAAATACCTTTTATGTCCAAACTTTTGGGACTGCCATGGGAGTGGCTATGGCACCATCTTACGCCAATATTTTTATGGCGTGGTTTGAACGACAACATATTCTATCCCAATACCAGTCGCATATACTGAAATATTTCAGGTTTGTGGACGATATTTTAGAATTATGGAAAGGCACAGAAGAGCAACTGAATAACATGGTTACTACTATCAATAACTTACAGACACCCATTAAATTAACTTTGACTACTGACAAGAATACGATCCAATTTCTGGACGTATCTTTATTCAAAACTGAGAAAGGTATTGGATATACTTTATATCGAAAAGAGACAGACAGAAATACATTGCTATTAGCCTCAAGCTTTCATCCTAAACATATGATTGAATCATTACCCATTTCTCAATTTGTTCGGGTAATACGGTACAACAGTGATCCCCAGAAACGGGATACACAAATACAACAAATTAAGCAGAGATTTGCAGTTAGAGGCTATTCACAACAAACTCTTACAATAGCTGAAATGAAGGCAAAACAATGTATCCAGAAATCTGTGATCAAAGATCCTCAGGTAGATCGTCTGTTCCTTCCTCTCACCTTTCATACTAATACTGCGCTTATCAAAAACACAATATATAAACATTGGGACATACTACAAGCAGACAAAAGCCTGTCATCAATTTTCCAAAATCCACCGATCATCTGTTATAAACGCAACAGGAATTTGAAGGACATATTAGTCCGCAACGATCCGGTACATTGTTATCAAAAAGAAGCCGGTAGTAAGAAAAAGGGATGTTATAAATGTACAGGCTGCGTGACATGCAGCCATATGGTTTCAGGCACCTCTTTCGCACATCCACATACAGGCAAACGGATTGCTATTCAACACTTTATTACTTGTACCACGGACCATGTAATTTATTTGATTACGTGTCCCTGTGGGTTAGCATATGTAGGCAAAACTGACCTTACTGTCCGAGATCGTATAAGAGGACACCGTTCAGCAATCACCACAGCCTTTCGTGACCAACATACAGAGAAACCAGTAGCTAAACATTTTCTGACTTCAAACCATCGTCTTCCCACTCTAAGATTTATTGCTATTGATCATGTTCCACCTCTACGTCGAGGAGGTGATAGGTCTAAGATTCTCTTACAACGTGAAGCATATTGGATTTACTCTTTAAAGACAGCAGCTCCGAAAGGACTTAATGAACATGTCACATATTCTATGTTTCTTTAAACATTTTGTGCAGATGGGACTCTTTCTTATTTATGTTCGTTTTTTATTTTCTAGATTTACATTTTCTAGATTTACATTATTTACAGTTATACATATCGGTCTAATTATCCTGTATGGATTTTTTTCCGGATATCTTTCCTTTGTCTTGACAGATTATAGATTAATAGGTGGTCGTGGTATAAGGTCTGTTTAGTATAGACATTTATACTATATGATACATTGGTATAATGATGTGTTCAGCTCAAGATTTTTCTCCAGATCTGCATGGTAACAAGAAATATTTATTTAAATATTGCTTAATGTATTTTAGTTGGATTATTTTTTCAACCTGGATTTAAGGTTTATATTTGCATTTATAATATCAATGTATAATACTCCGGTGTATAGTCGCCATATGGGCAGTCGGACTCCAGGACAACCCTCCCACATACCCAACCCAATAACTCACTGACACAAAGGTATATGGGAAAATAATAATTTATTAAGCAATAATAATTTTAACAATAAACATGGGTCATTGCCCCCATACTCCGTCCTCGTAACCGAATCCTTCTGTTAATATAACAGGCAATGACCCCCATATAAATAACATATATACATATACATATAACATATAACATACGTATCAACATCTTCCAACATACCAACTTAAAGTGCCAAACATAAATTAACCATGGCAGGGGTATACCCGGATACCCCTGCCCCACCAGATTCTGAGCCACCGACAGGACTCGGAACCTACCTACGTCTCCATGACGTTCATCCTAGGGAGCCTATTTCTTCTCCTTCAGCTCCCTATCCCGCCGATGTGAAAAAACGGGATAACCCAAGTCCGAACCAAATTCAGGGAGGGTGGGCGGGACAAACTCAGCAAGGTAGTAATTAAAAGTGAAGGCTTTAAAATGGCTGCCTATTTAAATAGCCAAGCCTACTTACCCATAACTCCATACTTCCTTCCCTCCTCCTATGCCCGCCTCCTAACCCCTGTCAAGGCCTTTTTTCGCTTAGCTGCGCTTTGGCTACATGGGGCTACATGACTGGTGTATAGTCGCCATATGGGCAGTCGGACTCCAGGACAACCCTCCCACATACCCAACCCAATAACTCACTGACACAAAGGTATATGGGAAAATTTGTCCACAGCTTTATTTAACCAATCTTGAATAATAATAATTTATTAAGCAATAATAATTTTAACAATAAACATGGGTCATTGCCCCCATACTCCGCCCTCGTAACCGAATCCTTCTGTTAATATAACAGGCAATGACCCCCATATAAATAACATATATACATATACATATAACATATAACATACGTATCAACATCTTCCAACATACCAACTTAAAGTGCCAAACATAAATTAACCATGGCAGGGGTATACCCGGATACCCCTGCCCCACCAGATTCTGAGCCACCGACAGGACTCGGAACCTACCAACCACCAATGACCACAGTTTTACGTCTCCATGACGTTCATCCTAGGGAGCCTATTTCTTCTCCTTCAGCTCCCTATCCCGCCACAAGCTCAGACCTTGACTCCTTAAGCTGTCTGAGCTCCGCCACCCCGAAGAAAAAGAGCCTTAGTTATGCCCTCCTGCCAGCCCAGGGTCAACAGATCCCAACCAACTGCCGAGAGATGAACTCCATCCGAGCGGTAGTACCCCGGCAAACCACCTTCCAACTCGCTGTGTCGAACTACCACACCCCCTAGCTTCCGCACGAAGCTTGCCATCAAGCTATTCACTTTCTTCCTACATCTGTCAATAGCCTCCGGGTCCCTAGCATGCCGCCACCGCTTCCTAGGGATAATCTCCGACCAGACCAACATCACCCCGGAAGTAGGTCCCTTAAACCGTTAAGGTCCTGCTTCATCCACTTCACTAGCCGCCGCTGCGGAGTGAGGCCCAAGTCGTTGCCCCCCGCATGGAGCACCAGCAGGTCCGGCCGTTGCCCGCCTGCTACCATCCGGAACACCCTTTCGCAGACCTCCCCCCAACAAAAACCCCTGTACCCGAACCACTGTACTGCCAACTGGTCCCGATGAAAGCCCAGCTGGTGGCCCTGAGCTCGAGCTGCAGCCCTCCTTTTCGGCCCAGAAGACAAATGAATGGCCCACGATCCATGCGACACGGCCTGGGGGAGAGAAGGAAAACAGATCATAACAGCCCCTTATGCACCCAGCCCCCGGGGATCCCCCCAAAGGCCCTTCACCATCTTACTCCAATAAACCCAAGCGCACATATGAACGGAACCGTACCGACTCCCATCTCCCAATCCGTTTCACTATGTCATCCCCCAGACCCAACCGAGCTGCCTCCGTAGCCGCCCCAATACGAAAGGAGTGTGTACCAAAAGTATCCACCCTCAGTCCTAGCTTTCCCAGTCCAGACCGAAAAACCTTGGTGAACTGGAACCGGGAGAGGGAAGACCCGTCCGCGTGTACCAGCAGCGATCCTCCAACCCCCGGCCTCCGTGCCATGTACCCCGCCAGCCACTGGGCACAAAGCGGAGCCCGGCAGGGCCCGCAGCGTCACATCTCGGCCCTTGCCTAACATGTCCGTCTTGGATCTTGCCAGGTGTACAACCACCTTCCCTTCCAGCACTCGGACCCCCGACACCTGTACCCCTCCTGCCGCAGTCCTCGTGGCACTGACCAACTCCCCTACCCGAAAGGCTCCAAAGAAGGCCAACAGAAACGCCGCCTGAAACAACGATGCTTCGAACCTGTCGAAACATATAGTAGGCAATAAACCGACCAGGTCACTCAACACTCGCACCGATACTGGGCGCCGAGTGTCAGGCCGTCTGCGGCCCCGCCGGTACCCCTTCAGTGCCTGCCTTATGACAAAGGACTTAGTAAGGTCCTCTTCCCCATGTAGCTTGAACCAGAAAGCCATCGCCGCCATGGACCTGTCAACCACCGCCGGGGATGCCCCCTTCGCCAGAAATTGACAGGTGTACCAGAGGAACGCATCCTTGAGCGATTCCCCCGCCGGCAGGCGGTCCAACCCTTCCCATGACCTTTCCCAGGAGTCCCAGACCTTACTGTAAGCGGCCCATGTGGCCGGCGCCAGCGAAGCCTTCACCAGTCCCCCAAGCAGGTCGCCCCGAGCCGCCAAATCTCGTCTGGGCAAGCCTGCCCCACTTCTTGGGCTTCCGGCGCCACCGTCCGGAATCGTGACCACTGAAAACGAGACAGGGCGTCAGCTACATCATTCATGAACCCAGGCACATGGCGTGCACGAAAAACAACATTTAGCGACATGCACAACAGAACAAAATGACGTAGCAACCTAACCACGGGTTTCGATGCCGCTGATTGGTTATTCACAGCGTGCACCACGGCCATATTGTCCGAGAAAAAGACCACCTTCCGGTCCCGCAGCCTATCCCCCCACAGGGCCAACGCAACGACCAGTGGGAACAGCTCCAAGAAAGCCAAGTTCCGCATGAGGGGGCTCAGTCGCCA